CAAAAATCTCGGCATGCTGCGTTTCTGAATTGTTGATTATTACTGTACTCAGTAGTGATTATAATAATGTACACAAAATAAATTTGTTGAATGGTTATGAAATACAAATAAAAGTCAACTTAGTTTCATCGTAAGCGAATGATTCCGGTCTCGTATAAACGTTTGATGCTGTAGGATATCCGCCATGTTCTCTTAGGTCAAATAGGTCAAATCGCTAATTAACCAATCAAAAAGCTGGATGATGCCAACGTGTTCAAATTACCATAGCTTATTTAAATATGTTAATGTTATTGAACGCAATGCGGAAGAGATTGGTGTTGTAGTACGATGTTTTGGCTTGGATTTTGATGCGAAAACGGCATGATTTTTTTTAAATAAAAAAATTAGTTGTTTTTAAAAAATAAACTGGTCATCTGAAGAATAATTTAATTAACATTGTTCACAGTGATAACAGCTCATTCTCGAAAGGAAGCTTACCCGCTCACGCTAGTCACGATAAAAATCATACACGTGTACTCTTGAATAGACAAACGTCAATGACTACGGTAAAACTTAGACTCTATTTTAGCCGGCAGGATTGATTGAAATGTCCGAAAAATGACGCCAAAATAAACCTTATTTTTTAATCCAAGGGCAAATTTACGGCAGAATTTGGTCCCTCAAATAAGGGACACGTGAGCTTTGATTCTAACCGGATACATTGCACTGGGTCGGGGAGATAGTTTGCTAAACTTCCATGCATCTTTTGTCCAATGGGTACCTGTACTTCGAACATTCGCAAGTTTTTCTAGGTAGTGCGAGACAGCTTTGTCTTTTGACCTATTAGTTTTGTGCTGACCTCTTCTCCGCGTCTTGATGTTTTGTTTTGCTTGTCATAATACTCACTGATTGATGACTTTGTTTAGATTTTGAGTTACAACTCGGCCACGACCTTTGCTTTTACCGTGAAACATGAGGAAGTTTACGTCAATTGACGGACATTGCATTTTTTAAAAACTAATGAAGCACACTGTCTATCATCCCCATTTTTTCATTTGCTGATTTCTATTCTGAAAAATTCGACCGTCCGAAAATGCACCTTAATTTTGACTCTAAAAACACGTCACATATCTAACACCAATTATTTAAAACCGGTCGAAATTTTGGAGTTTTTACGGTACTTTAGATATCAGTGTGAAAGCTTAAAATTGGTTAATTATGCAAAT